TCGTGCGTGCTCGGGGTATCTTCGGATGACGCAGATGACATTGCTCAAAGGACTATCGTCAGCAAGGAGTAAAACAGTTTGCGAGATTCGCATAGCCGGCAAGAAGCGCACTGAAAAACTAAGCAAAATCTCTCTGAAAAGGCAGTCCAAATTCACCAAATCAGAACGTCTTTGCAGTATTAACGTCGTACTCTCGTACTGACTTCAACGACCTGGTAAGCTTAATTTTCATCAGTCTTTTAATGCTGTTGACCGGGAAACATTCCGACGAGATAAAACTTAAGCATGGATAAGTTTATACTGAGAAAGTTGTTATCTTATTGTTTAAGACACTTTTCCGCGATCAAATTTAAATCTGGACCCAGAAATGTCAGTATCGGTTTGAAATAAAAGGATTAATCTTTGATTGCAAGTTAAGTATTCTATTTTATGCATGAATAATGTTGTTTTGTTGTGCTTTTTATTTATAAATCCAGGCTTCTGTCTTCAGTTTTGCCAGTCGATCCCGTGACACCCATTGTGACAAACATGACTTTTTTTGTTATCATCTGCATTTATTGCCAGGCATGAAACCTGTAACTTCAAGCTCCCTAAGATATATTTGGCGATTATATGTGATTCTCAGGATACGATGCTGAAGCGAACATCAAAATCAGTCTCGCTGGGCATGCCAATTTCTTGCCTGGCATGCCGGGCATGCCAAACCAACTGGCTTCACCATCGCATGCCCGGCATGCCAAACCAGAGGAGCATAAACTGGGAATGAATTATCAACCCGGCGAGAGATCTGGGACCTAAGTTTGGCTGGGTCAATTTTGGGCTGCGAGGGTATGAACCCATTTTTTCCATGCCTATGAGATTTTATTTCTAAGTACCAATGTTCCCTTGAATTTTTTCATGCCTAAATATATAAAATTTTCCCTCTCTCAGTAATCCTCAGACTGGATGCGATTTTTACGCTCGCTAGGCATGTTCAACTGAAAATCATGCCCATACCCTTATTTAAAACAAAATGCTATCAAATTTTAGTTTCCAAGCCGTTTGAATCCTTTAAGTGTAGAACAGAGTACTCTAATTAAAGATACAGAGAACTGCTTGTATCACAGATAATTCGTGACAAGCCCACTGGGGTAGGACAGGTTGGAGCTTCAGCCTAACAAGGAGAGATGGACGCCCCCGCCCACCAGGTCTGAGGTGGCACTCCCGTCGGGGTTACGATTCCCGCGTAGATATGGTAAGTAACATAGGATCCTCTACCAGAAAACACTAGTTTGGTGTCTGGAGCATTATAGGTTACCCTAATAAGGGTAAATGGATCTCTTTGAGTTTTGGTTAGCAGTTCGTCTACTAATGGTGACCTAATTCTGAGGGTAAATAATGAACACCAGTAGATTGAAAGTACGGAATCGAACAAAGTACCACAGATACCCCACACTGCAATTACACCTGATATCCATGAAATATCCATGATAATATGAAAGCTGAAGAGGAACCCAGTGGTTCCAAAGCAGAAGAGCTACAAAAAGAAGTTAACCCAGTAGTCAATGTTCTTCATGAAAGGATTCAACACTGGTGCAGTTACATCAGAGAGCAGGACTACCATCACAGAGGTCAAGTGATAGAGCAAAGTTGAGGACATAAGTTGAAAACGTCCAAAAAAGAAAAGATCCATTTTGGAAGAGAAGGATCAAGAGAAACATTGGAACCTGGAGAAAATATCTTAGTACGATTGAGGAGGTCGGAAGAGAAAATATTTAATCGAAACAAAGAGACGAAAAGGTTGAACAGAAAATATCGTTTCGAGGAAAGGGGTACTATGTATGTTTGAGCTGTGCTGAGACAGAAGCTTAGGCAGGTGGAATTAAGATCAAAAGAAATGACTAGAGATGTCAACAGATCAAAAAGAATCAACGATTTTGAACTAACCAGAAGCTGTTTTACATGTATTAAACGCTAAATGTAAAAACGAGGTGAAACATAGTTACCTGATACCACTGAAGCTACCATCTTTTGGAGTGGGATCTTTTCGGAGAAAGTTAGTCACAATGGATACAGGATAAAAAGCAGCAGTTTAGCACAACATAGACACAAGAAGGTATAATCATCATTGTGGAGGACATTTGAAATGGACTGAACAAAATGGCAAATTGGAAGGCAGCAGACCTGGCAAAGGGCATTAGGCCTATCAACCATCTACAGTTCACGGATGATCTGAAGCTCTACGGAGCAACCAAAGATCAATTTGGCTCACTTATTCAAGCGCTCAGGATTTCCTCTGAGAACATCAAGATGTAACTTGGGCTAGAAAAGTGTTTGTCTTGGAAATGAGAAGAGGAAGGAAAGTTGACAACAGTAGAATAGACCAACCAGATGACCAGCACATAGGAGAAGTTGAGGAAGAGGGCTACAGATTCCTTGGCATTTTACTATTTGACCAGACTCTCAATACCAAGATGAAAGGCACGATAACAGCGGAATATATCAGACGAGTAAAGAAGCTGTGTAGATCAAAATTGAATAGCAGAAATCTTATTAGCGGCATAAATGCCTGGGCTGTAAGTGTGGCACGCTACAGCGTAGGTGTCATGGATTGGACAGTGGAAGAGGTGGTCAACATGGATCGAAAAACTAGGAGGATACTGGCAATTAATGGCTGTCTACACACCCGAAGTAAAGTTGCCAGACTATATCGATCTGCCGAGAAAGGGAGGGAGTGGTTTGATTGATATTGAGGAGTGTGTAAAGAAGCGAGTCCTTACATGGATGCCTGAGGAATGGCGCAGAGTAGATGCTGCGGTTTTGAAGGAGAAGGTGCTTCTTGATGATATTCTTCAGGACTACCAGAGGAGAAGGAAAGAGGAAGCAGTAAGTAACTGGAACGAAAATTCCCCGGGGTACCGGCAAATGGCCGCTTATTAACGGAGGTTGACCACTCAATAGAGGTTCTTCATAAACGGGCATAATCCTGAGCAGAAACATCACTTTATTTTGAAACAAACACGTGAAGGGAGCAGCATTTCTGGTTAACAATCAGTCATCACCTTCTATCTCGAACTATATGTTTCTCCATCACATTCTAGAAATAAAGCCAAATCAAGTGTATCACGCTCTTGACAGAGGTAACAACAATGAGAGGACACTTGTTGGGACGGGGCAAAAGGTGGCCAAGGCCGCTAAATAGAGGTTTACGTTCCCATTCTTGTCTACAACTATTTCGAAACTTTTATCACTGGCCGTTTAATAGAGGGTAGCCTCTTAATAGGTGGCCGCTTAATGGAGGTTCAACTGTAATAATAATAATAATAATAATAATAATAATAATAATAATAACAAGATGATGATGATGATGATGATGCTGTTTGGTCAGTCTGCTTTTCTTTTTAAGAGTATATTTTACCTATCAACAAACTCACCCAAGCGAAGTCGCATTTTCCAGATTAAAAAAATCAAGGTAAAGGTAAAAATCAACAAAAGAAGTATACAACTGGCGTAAACACCGTGCAGAAGTCCTTCGCTATTTCTCACAGAACCTAAAAAATTAAGGAAAGGTTTATTCATGATGACAAAACACATTGATAACAAATGCAAACTATAGCAAATCCTGCGTTTAGGTAATTCCCTTGAAGAGTATTACTATCCATGTGTTAGAAGCTTTATTGTGAATTAACTTGTGATCTCTTGTCAACAGTAGCCGTGTGGATGCAGTGATACCTAAGCATTTCACGTACCGAGTTTGCCGACTTTTGTTTGTTCCCCCTGCCAGCTAACCCAAACATGTCCATAGTTTGGTTATTGAGGTCGCCGTTAGTGGGTTTAGCATTTAGTATATTATGATAGCTAGATTGACAGGAAAAATTAGTTAGTACTCAAGTTTTAGTTGTAAAAGACCTAAAAATTGAGCAGTCTCATTACCTCTCTTGCAAGCCACCTACATAGCAGTTAATATTATTGACTGCAGCTCCTTGACTTCGTAAGGATACATACAACGTAATACTGTACACACTAGAACGTAACTAATTAAAAATCGGTATCCCTACATACTAAAGATTACAGGGATCACAATTTCCCACAGGTATTTACCCCGTTATTTATAACCCTTTATTTGCTAGGTACAGAAAAAGGGAAGAAATTGTTTCCAGTTTATTATTAGACTGCAAAACAGTCCGTATTTTTGCGTATTCAAGTACCCGCGAGCAGTCAAACAAAAGGTCTGGAACGAGGCTAAAAACAGAGAGCGAGACTGGGGCGAGAGAAAAAAACCGAATGTTTTACAGTCTAGCGTATTATGAGTTTCTACACATTGTCTGTCGTGCTACGGAAGGACCCTCATCTATAAAGTATCGAGTACACGTGAGTACAGAAATCTCATTAAACATTTCGTTATTTTATTATGCAAAATTTTATTATGTAAATAGGTCTTGTATGTTCTAACCTGTTTGATTTCCTGCAGGATTAGAACCTAAGAAAAGAGTAATAATGTTAACGATCTCGCGATAAAAAGGGATTTTTGCTAGCAAAAATGTCCTTATATGTGTCTGTAAGTTAACATCCTTTTCCCTTCCCTTTTTGTCTCTTTACTCTTATTATTATAAGCTTAGCTTGTGTAAAGCCGCCCCCTCCTCTCAGAGAAAAAAGCGGGGAAGAGGCGTCTGAGATTCTCCGCTGCTAATCGGGTATGGAGGCCACGTGATTTTTCCCCGAATGTGTGGAACATGATTTGATTGGCTGTTACTCGTAGATCACTACATCATGTAAATGAGGGCTTTTGATTGGCTTTAGGGCCTGTCGTCAAAACATAACAGGAAATCAGAAAATCACATTCATTAACAACTACACGCATGTAGCTATTCAGATCCAGGGATTTCGGAGAAAAGAAAAGAACTAAAATCTTCATTGAAAGGTTCTCTAGCCGTACTTTAAGGCTTCAAAGAGGTCGAAGAAAAACTGCTGCTAAACGGCATCCGACACCTGATCAAATCCTGTCACAAACACCTACAGAAACTTAAAACCACAGGAAATAATACTCAATATGCATAAGACATACTAGCTTCATGACATCGAAATGTAAGAATCAAGGCAAAAATAAGATTTGTTCAGTAAAAGTTTATGGTGCTCCATGCACTGTGATGCACGATCTACGCGCTAGAAAGAAAAGAGCAAACGCTAAGGTCACGTTTCGCACAATCACGAGCTTATGAGTCGAGTTTGACCTGTCAACACTTTATTTCAAACTAATAAATTTCCGTATCCAGTGGGAAGGCTTGCATAAGATCAGGGATCTTTTCCTTCAAGGGCCTGTAAGAACATTTTTTATCGGTATAGAGTAAAGCGATTTTAAAACTGTCTCACTCTTTCAATTGCTCAATGAAAATAAGTCGCATGCACCGGAATTTTGAGAACTGGAATGACATGAGACATGAGCCAGGGAAATTGTGGTTGGCGGAAACTATTTTTTTTTTTTGATTTATGCAAAATCCTTGATTCCATTACACGATTAGCAACGGGGAATCACAGACATCCCTTCTCCGATGTTTTTTTCTGAGGAAGGGGGCGGCTGTACACGGGCTATTCCAAGCCCATGAGTTTTTTTAATCACGCCCATATTATTTATTCTTAGCAAAGTGAACGCACCCAAATAACACTTCCGATGATCACAATTGAGAAAGAGGAAGAATAAGAAGAACTATCCCAATTTCAGCATTTCAAAAGTTCAGAGGAATAACAGGGGCACCCAACGTCAATTTTCGGAATATATCTTTTTGGAAGACTATTTGAGATCTAGAATTTTCAGAACATTTGTTGTAAAATTTCTTCCTTGCCTGCTCCTCCTAGGGTTTTCGAACATCTAAAAAATAGTACATGTGTATAGTTGCCCATTTTTAACGGATTTTTACCTTATAAAAGTCACCTAGAATTTTCTGGAAACTTTTTTCTGGCTAAAATTTTCGGAAAGGTAAGGTTTGATGCCTATAACTTTTGGATCCCTAGACTTTCAGCTAGGTAATCCGAACAGATGAAAAATTTTTAGGGGATAAAAACATGACTATATCTACCGTTTGATCAACAATGGGTGCCCCTGGAATCAGAGAGGCGATATTTCAGCATATGAAGGCGCATATGGTCACACTTGGCTCACGCAGACCAAGTCAGATAAACCAAGATAGCGGGATCTACTTCCCCTGTTGGAACGATGTGGCTAAAAATATAAAAGTCACAAGGGTGACAAAGGGGCTAATTACAGGATGCGTTTAGGCTGCCTTGATTTAACCGTACCTGACAACGCTTGAATCCACTTGATGTTTTCTTCCAAGGAACTCTCTCCATACTTGTTGGTAGCCGTTACCACAAATTCGTACACCTTGCCCTTCTCGATTTCAACGACATATTCGCGTGTAGAAATATCATTTATGACCCCAATCAACTTCCATTCATTTCCTAGTCTTTGGTAGATCGAATACCGTGTGATGGCTGCTCCGTTGCTGTCTGGCTCGTCCCAATATAAAATTATTTCGTCTGTGATTTGCACGGAGGCAGGGACATCTGTGTACATAAGAGGTAAAAGCCTCTAGGTGAAAGCCACTAGGCACTTTCAATGGAGAAAACGTCACAGAAGTGACGACGGCGGGCGCGTTGTTTTTTTTTTTTTTCGCTTTTTTTTGTTAACATTCATCTAGGGTTTGAATTTCATTTTTTTTAAGAGTTCGACTGCATTTGAGAAAAAGCACTCTTTTGACAGTTTTCCTGTAGTTGTATTATCAGTAAATTTCTGCAAGACCATGGTAATTCTTACGGGGGTTCCATCAATACAAACCCATTTGGTGAAACTGTCACTTTAACGCCCCTTTCTTGATTAAAAGCATTGGAGATTTTTGCGTTCACTGAGTTGTAACAAAAAGCTATGAATAATAGGAAAGGGATTAGCTTCCTAATTTCCAGGATTTAACAGAGTCACATTGTTATCAGGTCTTACAATTTGTATGGCATTTAACTGAAGAATTTAGCCAAACTTACACATACCTCCCACAGCTGCAATTTTTCTGGTATATTTCTCTTCTTTTACACTCTCGCCAAATCTGTTTGAGGCAGTCACTAAAAATTCGTATTCACGATCTTTCTCCAACTTGACAGCAACCTCACGAACTGAGACGTCAGTAATAATGCGTATTTTAGTCCATTCTCGAGTTGCATTACTATTATTTACAATTCTTTGGTATACAGTGTACTTTGTGATAGGCGCACCATTGTTCTGAGGCTCATCCCACATTAATTTCACTGTTACATCTTTTGTCTCAGCTGGTAAGTCCTTTATTAAAGCCGCCTCAGGAACACCTTAACACAAAGCAAAATTATATTGCTAAGTCTGTATGTCGTGTAGCCGGTAGAGTACAGTTTTCAACAAAAACCGAAATTATATCCAATGTGAAAGATGGACACGAACAAGCAGATTTTCGAACCATACTAACTGTAGATAAAAACGTACACATCAAAGCAGTGTACAGAAGGAAAAAGCAAAACATTTTAGCGTGTAAAAATCATGAGATTGCCCTTAGTCACATTACAGTGAAATGCCAAGAAGATTGATAAGAGCAATATTTTTATTTGCTATATATATATAATCATTCCTGATATTTCTTGTGTCTGAAGTCTTAACATTCGCATCATACATGTACATCCTATTTAGTCTGTATAGCTAATTACCTTTTAAATTTTGAATACGATTTAATGAACCATGCCATATATAGATCGTTTTCACATGACGTCACGGCGACCATAATAGTGTACAAAACTGCAATGTACAGCGCCCATGATGGTATGCAGAAAAATGCTTGTGGGGCTTTTGTAGTTAAAAAATTCTTTGATCCAAGAAATTTACATAGCGGCTGGTCACGTGAGTGAAAACGATCTATTGACTGGCTGAATCTGGTGACAACCCTCTTACCTTCAGGCTTTGTTTGAATTGTCGTTTGGCTAAAGGGTCCCTCAAACACAAAGTTCCTGGCAGAGACCCTCAAAGAGTATATTGAACTTTTTCTCAAGCCAGCAAAAACACAAGTTTTGGTAACAGGGTCAGTCACATTTTTTTCGCCTACTACTGTGTCTCGCTGTAAGAGTACTACTCGGTAAGCAGTTATAGGACTTCCTCCGTTATCAGCTGGGACTGTCCATTTGACGGTCATTGAAGTTGCTTGCACATCTATTGCGATGTTCGGTAGACTTGGCGCTTCTAAATAAAAATACAGTAAATAAAAATAATGAAAAACTTAGCATGTTAAGTGCATTCAATACTCTGTTAGGCTCACCCCTTCAAAAGCTCCTACTTTTAGAGGGAAAAAGTTATTGAGCGTCTCTCTACCTAACCTCGCTGTTTTCCTTGATAACAAAGTAAAAACAAGACAGGCTGCATGAATTAATATTAATGGTCGACATTTCATGTACAATGATTAATGTGTCGCCAAGGCCTGATAGAACCCGAAATATTCATCTCAAACAGTCACTTCTCTAGTATGGAACAGGAAAGAGAGTAATTCTAGTTCTCGTTTAAACCTGTCACAGAGACTACTGCTGAGCGCATTAAATATTTTACGAGTGTATTTTATTAGTGTTCTTAACATTGCTCATTGTTATAGTTTTTCGAAGTTTTATTGAATTGGCCCCAGGTTTATTATTTATTTTTATTTTTTTAACGTGAACAGCGCGAGAGGTTGATATTTACCAACTGAAAAAGATTTTCGTTAAGTGGCGAGCACAGTGGTAATTTTTAGGATTCCTCTCACTATCACAATTAAAATTTTTCTTACTTATTTGTTTTACTTGAATCATCTTTGAAGCAAGCGGAAATCCATTGTCAGCTGTGCAGTTATAACGACCAAAATCATGTTCAGTATTCATTGTCAAAACAGCAGTACTCTCATAAGCCTTGGCCTCGTTCAACTTAGTTCCATCAGGTTTGTACCAGTACAGGATCGGCACAGGAACACCATCTGCCTTGCAAAGCAGCGTCACTGTCTGACCAATCCATGAGTTAGCCATTGAAGAGGTAATGTTGTTTATGGTTGCTGGGTCTATTAACAAGGCAAAAAAGTTTATTGCCAGCGGCTTCAATGGACGTTTCGCAAGAGTATTGTTAGGCGCAAGTCGTGGATAAAATTAACTAGTTAGGTGGCATTAAAACACGTTCCTCCGTATTTAGAAAATGCTAGAATAATGCGTATTCAAGACAGAAATTTTGTTTAGCTTGTAAAGTGCTATTGAAGGCCCACACTTAAATTAGCCAAAAATCACGGCCCGTTTATTTTTCGGTTTTTTCACGTACAAGCGGCTTCTCAATATAATCTTTAGTTACATCACCATGCTTACTTAAACTTAAATCAGTCTCAACAAATATCCCAAACACATAGCACATTAATCACAGTAGCAAGCACCATACATAAAAGGAAAGGTGCTGCACTTTATGTTGGAGGCACAACGGCTGTGCACAATCTTTTGTTTTCTGTTCATAAATTCTCACAGAGTAAAATTTAGTGACAATACATAAGTTCAAAATGATAGGAATGATATTGAATGTTTTGCACTGTTAGGTCCACAAAAACATGGCAAAGAATTCTGACGGGCTTCTTAACCATTCCACTGTATTAACTATGATTCAAACCTCCTAATTTGAATGGCGAAAGGAAGTAGGGTCGAAACCTGACGACGGTGCTGCAGTAAACAATTATTGTTATTCGAAATGATAACTAGAAAACATACCCGCTTTATTTCAAATTGATCAGGATGTGAACCGAATGTGCGTGGCTGTGTGACTAGGTAAATTTTACAAATTTGAAGGTAATGAGATAATTGAATATTCTGAAAGTTTCTTAAGTATTGATTTATGACTGTCGTTGCAAGTATTAGGCATGTATTTGTCGGATTGTATTCAACAGTTTGTCATTTAGTAACACCATAAGTTATTAAACAATGTTTTAATGCAAGATTGCAAACCGGGAAAACGGGCGCAAAAGTGTAGATACATAATACCAGCAGCGACATGAAACAGTGAACCATATGTGTCGCAGTACTATCTGACAAAATACCAAACAAATCATTGATGAAAAGCTCACAGATAATGGAACAGTCAGTGGCGGGGAGGGCTTCCATGGCGGAACTCGAATCTCGGTTATCGGTTATACTCCTATGAGGTCTCGAAGGTAATCAGCAAACAGAACAGGCCACTGAACGGGAACGACTCTTCTCAAATCGAGCTGTATGACTGGGTGTGATTTTTTTCTCTTACCGACGTGGTTAATTCGCAGTTGTTTGATCGCTTTACCATCCGGGACACACCCCATACCCCAGGACATACCCCACTATTTATTGCACTGTATGGACGTTTTCGAGTGGATAGGTACTGTTGCGGGACCGCTTAATGGAGACCGCTTCGTCATCGGAACTGTTTTGTTTTCTCACTCTCAGATAAAATGAGTTTTGCAGGACTCCGTCCAAGTCCCGGGCGCCATTGTTTTCATGCTGACTTTGCCCAGGAACACATCACTCTCATCCACGTTGTTGTGTTCTTGGTTTCAGCGTGTTTAACTGTTCTTTGGTTCTTTCATGCATCAGCTCATCGGAATCACGGGGAATCCTGGACTCGTCTGGTGCTAGGAAGTTGTTTTTGTTGTATTTTTTTCACATCGTTTTTTCTGCGAGAACATGTGCAGCTCGCCTGCTCTCTCGCTTGGTCGGTTGGATTGTAGACTTGACCAACTGTACTGTTTTATTAGTATCATTATTATCATCATCATCACCATTTTTATTACTATTATTTTCAAGGCTTTCAAGATAAATAGAAGTTTTTTGTATCAATAGATAACAGATCAAATCTGTAGAAAATAAAATATACAGTCACGTTCTATTTTGAACAAATAAATTTATGTAACGACGCACTCACAGTTAACTTCAAGTTTTAGTTGTTTTGTTATTCGTCCCGCACTGTTGTTAGCGATACATGTGTATATCCCTGCATCTTTCTTGTCAGTTTTACAAAAACTGAGATAAGTTGTATTCTGGCCAGAGGTTTTTACTTGTCCATTATGGATCCATCTCACTTCTGGGTCTGGTTTTCCTGTTGCTGCACAAGTGATGTTAACATGACTCCCTTCATTATAACTTGCATTTTCTGCAGTTGGATAGGTGATGGTGGGTACCTCTGTAAAGTTAGAAGCAGTTTACGTATTAGCTTTTTCAATGGTTCAACAACATAAAAAGCAGTTGAAAATCATAGCTAGATCCATGAAAATTTATAATAGGTTCCATATTTTATTTGTGCGCCAGATAAACGGGAAAAAGGAAATGATTATACATATAAAGTAGTCAGGAGAAAAATTGGTTGATCGATTAATTCCTGTAAATCTCTTCCAAAATTTTGTTGAACTTAAAGCCAATTCTTGCGACTCTAAGATCAAAAAATTTCGTTAAGGTATGAAAGTAGTAGCTTATGGCTCTCTAATAATCTGTTTTAATTAAACATTTTTTAATAACTTCATTTTATCTGTAATTGATGCGGTTTTTGATCCTTTAGTTTAAATTGTTTTGGATCGCTAGGAGTCTATAACTTCCAAGGCTTATTATTATTTCACGTAAACTTTTGTCTGCTTGTGTAGTTTTCTTATGTTTGAATTTTGCTATGGGGTTACTGGCGTAAACGTGGTAAGGATGAGCAGCACAACGATGAGTTAAAATGCAACAAGTATTAGCTTTACTCTGCTTTTCAAAAACACGGGAACTCTGGAGTTGAAAAGCCAACTTCACAATTGCATTTTTGCTGCCGTCAATCATATTTACGATCAACAAACCTTCTACCACAGAAAAACACAAAATGGATCGAACTCCACCAATCACAAATCAGTAATGACTAACAAACCATTAAGGCGAGGTAGTTATTTAACAAGAATATTTCGGTCACCTACACAAAGTGTGCTTCCAAAGATTACTTTATTTTGGAAAATAATGCAAAATACAGTTCTATTTTAAACCAAACTCGACAATATAATGCTTTTAAGGTGCTTCGATATAGTTTTTCAGAGGCCATACCGATATTTTTCAATCGCTCACTGGTGAAAATTTTATAACGATCAGACAAGAAAAAAACCACTTTTAAGGCGATTGAAAAATATCGGTATGGCCTCTGAAAAACTGCATCGGAAATACCTTAAAATGGGCATTCTCTTCTCTGAACCCTTTCATTAAGGTACATACCTACGAGAATTAAATGCACAAAGTCAACTATTGGCCCTTGATTTGGGTCATCAGGTTTTATCGAACATCCATAAAATCTCTCATCATCTTTTGCAATATTACTGAGTGTGAAGCTGGCCTGACCAGAAGAAGAGTCACCAGTACGATTTCCACTGACACGACTTTTGTATGCATTAGGGACTGATTGAGATGAGAGTTCAACGACACCACGCTTATCTATAACTACTAATAAGCCATTTTTATAGTCAATGGCATTTACACCAGCTTCCTTTATTCCCCAGGTTACTGTGTCAACTGCTCCAGAAAACGTCCAAGTAAAGGTCACAGAATGGCCAGTCGATCCTGTCACAGTTTTCCGTTGATATAGAGACTTGAATAATATCTGCATCTGACCTGTAACACAAGAACTGATCAACTTCTCTTAGAAAGATAGATGTACATGTTTAAAACAGGGTTAGAACAATTGCTGGTGACCCAGTAATTTTTATTGAGACCCACAAATAAGGACAATAATAACTACGTGAAATAAACATAACAGTGTTAAGGATCTACCGAGCACAAGATCCAGTCAGGGGTTTAAAGACACAGATTGAACTCGGGGCTTCCGAATTGCAATTCTAGCGCTCAAAGATCAAAAGGAAAACATAATATTTAAGAGATTATAAAAGATTTGCTCCAAAGAAACTTTCAGTTGAGAATTAAGTTTATTTTAAAATTAACTTTAAATTCAGACCAAAATGTGAATATTCATTTATTTCTGATTCATCAGGGAAGTGCAAAGCGATTAATCAAACTTAACAATGGTAAAACTATCTTTGCCATAAAGTGACGTTTCGTTACTTTGTGTCCCTTGGGCAGAGGGTCAAATCGCATTGCGGCCTTCAGCGGTACACTAAGGTTTCAGTTTTCATTTTCCGGTTTCCATATAAATATCTATCCTTATTGTTCTGTACCCGATTCGAATTGTCTCAATATGTTTAGGCAGTAAATAGATTGAATGAAAAATATTAAAAGCTTTAGGTAAATTTAACCTACAAGTATTAAGGATGGCAAAACGCCAACACACTTTTGGCAGCAAGCTTATAGGCTTATCCGCTTGTGAATAATGCTAGTTTCTTTCTAAATGCATGTTTCCGAAAACGTTGACTTTAGTAAAATACGAGAAGCTAAACATAACGTAAAAACCTTTTTCTTTTTGCGTTTTCGATGTTTAATTGAAGAAACAGGAAAGAAAAGCACCACATACCTGAATGCGGAAGTAACAACAATGCAAGGAAAATACAGCATTTATCTGCAGATGTCTGCGTCGAGTCCATGAACATCAAATACACAATCAATTAATAAAAATATGTTTTGTAGGAAAGTATGGTTCGATCGAGCCAATTTATTTCACTAGTCGTTCTCGGATATATGAACAGACTGGACTGGTTCTGCAGGCATCTAAACATATATCACATGTCAATGTTTATGGTAGATATGAGGTCACAATCTTGGGTGCATTTATGGCTCCTAATCTCTCGATTGTCACGGTCACGGGAAAGCCCGGCCTTTTTTCATTCAATTTATTGCATTCTGGGAAAAGCGAAACTTGCTTGCTCGTCATAAAAACAATGTCGTTTCCTTTCATCCTTTTTACCGCAGCGCCCAATGCTGGCAACATTGACTGCGAATTATTGTCAAGTCTGTTATTTGGGAAATGACTCTTTCAGTTATTCATTGTGGTACAATCGTGATAGTCACAGTGATTGAGGCGAATTGACGTCGATTGGGGTGGGCAAGAATAGTGGTTAAAATTTCAAATAACGAGTAAGGCGAGTGTTAAATAATGCAATTGTTATTTAGCAGATGTCATTTAAACAGATGGAGGTCTACTCGAGAATTGATGACGCCTACTCTTGAAGTACAACAAGTGTCACTACCACCGCGTTGGTTCAGGTGATCAGTTACAAAGGCTAGTCAATTACAAGTTCCCAGGATGAATTCAATAAAAGTAAAGGGCTTACATAAGTGTGCACTCCAATCAAGCTTTGCAGGAAAATACTCAGTAATGTCCTGCAGGCTTATTAGCTCGTGACACTGAAGTAGTAGTGCAAGAGATGTTATTCACAGTGGCCTCATGATTAACGGTAACTGAGTCGGACTTACAGTTAACTAAAAGTTTCAGTTGTTTCTCTTTCTGTCCTACACTGTTGTTGGCAAAGCAAGTGTATATGCCTGCATCTCTCTTCTTGGTTTTACAATAAAATGAGATAAGCTGTATTTTGGCCAAAAGGTTTTTCATGTCCATTGTGGGCCCACCTCACTTCTGGAGCTGGTTTTCCTGTTTCTGCACAAGTGATGTTCACATGACTCCTTTCATTGTAACTTGCATTTTCTACAGTTGGATAGGTGATGGTGGGTACCTCTGTAAAGCCAAAAGCGATTTGTAATAGATATGCGGATTAACAGTAATTCACTTTTTTTCATTTCAAAAACAAAAAGTAAAGGGAACGATAAGGGAGAGTCAATTTGCCGCTAGTGTCGTAATGCCATGATGTTTTTCAACGGTAAATATTCGATGAATGGCTTGAATCATAATTACTGACCTGACTGGTCAATTAATTTGCGATGTCATTGACGGACGAACAACTTTATGCGACTTAATTGACCAACAGGTTACTTTTTACCATCAACTAACATGATGAAACACACTTTAATACTGAAGATGACTACAGCACTGATTGTGCAAACGTCAGTTACTGACAACAACAGTATTTCTCAGGACTATACCCACCTGGACGGTCATATTCCACCTACTTAAAGCAAAACATTTGGTTGAAAAGAACCATATCACCTTTAAAATACTCAGCGAAACAACTGATTTGATGTTCATTAAAACAGTTCTGTCTTTTTTTAAAAAAAAAAATTGGCAAATAATTTAAATAGATAAACGATAAAAGCGAAGTACGAAATGTAAAAACAAGCATTCCGATCAGTTGAAGAAAGATGTCAGAATCCTCATAGTTTTACTAGTCCTAGTTTTCACCTTTAACCACAGAAAATGTTTAAAAACCTCATCCTGAGTCCTTCACTTAAGGTACATACCTACAAGAAGTAATTGGACTAAGTCAATTATTGGCGCTTGGTTTGGGTCATCAGGACTTAGTTCACATCCATAAATCCGCGCGTGATCTTTGGTAAGATTATGGAGCTTGAAGCTGGCCAGACCCGAAGATCATGAGTCACCGATACGATTTCCATTCACACGACCTCTGTATACATCAGGGACTAATCCAGGCGAAACTAAATCAATACCACGTCTATCTAAAGCTGCTTAAAGTCCATTTCTTTTATCAATTAGATTCACACCATCTCTCTTCAATGCCCAAATTACCTCATCAACTCTACCAGAAAATTTCCACTCAAATGTTACAGATTGACCAATCACTCCTGTCACAATTTTCCCTTGGTATGCTGACTTGAATTGCACAACCAACGTCTGATCTACTATATGTACAGAACATATTAAGCATTAGCTGTTTTTAAGTGGACGATAACATTGACTTTCAAAGTTTAATTGTTTAATTTTAACATGTTAAGACCTATTAATTAAAAGTTGAAATTAAGTTGGAATTTATACAGAATAAAACTCCTAAATTCACTGCAGATTAAGAAACAGAGATTTATATAAGATATTCCATAGTTTAGCATTGATAAAGGTGCAGTAGTATGCTTTACCTCCTGAAAATGAATTACAGTAGAGGATAATATACTAAGCTGACTATTTCGCTCAAGACGCTTTAGTGTTATTATTCGTTACATTGCGTTACTCCGGGTAACGAAAGTGTGAGACCTTGCTTTCAGCGGTACACAAAGATTTTGCTTTCGATATAATTGTCCAAATGGTCTCAATCAAGCTCGGACTGCTTCAGAATAAGTTTAGCTAAAGAGACGTTGATGTCGAACATGTAAAGAGTTCTAGGCAGATTTAACCGAGCGATGTTGTTTTGACAGGGAGTTTGGCATTCAGGTTTTGCAAATTTATGATGCAACGTTATAAGCGAAAACTGTTGAATAATAATGTTAATAATGCACCGACCTAACTACGTGCTGACAGAAACAGTCGAAATATTAACAGAACAATCCCTCAGTACTCTTGACTGTTTCTTATTTAACTACCACCTGCCTCTAGCGTATTCAATGAGTAAATAAGGAAAACAAAGAGAGAAGAAAGTACCTACCTGCATGCGGAAGTAACAACAATGCAAGGAAAGCACAGCATACTGAGGATGTCTCCATCGAGTTTATGTACAGTCAATGGCAAATATATATTAAATGGTTGAGAAATATAATGGCAATGTCTCATCGATAAAATTTCTTTATCAATTCTTGAGCGTGCGGGCAGAATGGTGTAAGACGGAGCTTTACTTGTTCATACGAAATAGGATCATGTAACGTGACGTGTCACATGGCCGATAACCAGTCAATGAAGCGCCAAATTGACCATCTTTTACATACACTTTTAGAAGCAGGAAGGCTATACCAAAACTTCTGTGGTAAACGGAGTTTTGTTTTTTTCATCGTGGTACTTTCACTGTTGGTGACGATAATGCTATTTTTTGGCGATAATTGGATGAGGGTGAATATGATATACACCCTACAAGATCTACACAATTCTCCATATACTCTCCCTTTGACTGAATGTATAATAATTTCATTCATACAACACATTTACTAACAGCAATTTATGACAAGTGGCTCGATAAATCTCACCTGAAACTGTTTCCCTTGGAACTTTGAGTAATTCAATGAGAGTCAATTCAATAAATCATAAGAAATAAAACACTATGAAACGTAATCAATTGCAGGAAGTACTCACAGTTGACTTTAAAGTACAGCAGTTTTTCTGTCCGGCCAAAGGAGTTATTTGCTTCACATATGTACATTCCTGTATCCTCTTTTCCGACTTTTCCGAAGATTAACTCAGCTGTTCTGGCACCAGAACTTTTCACCTTTCCGTTATGGATCCACCTTACATCTGGGTCTGGATTTCCTGTAGCCCTACAACTGATGTTAACTAGCCTTCCCACGTTGTCACTTACAGCGTTTGCCATTGGATGTGTAATGTTTGGTGTCCCTGAAATTCAAAGTAAATGAATATAAAAGACGTTTTAAAAAATGGCCATTACCAGTCCAGTATCAATATCCATGGCAACACTAGTCTTACCATGGACGTTACCAGTACGGACAGATTATTGCACTGTGTTCTAGCTGGTAATTTTCTTCTGATTAACTCGTAGCGTTGTAAGTGTTTCAGTTGGCACTAAAAAGGATTATATTTGACAGTTGTGACAAACTGTTGTAAAGTCCTTTGCCAATGTGTATTATTTGTTTTACTTCAACAGGGCTTTATATAGTTCAGTGAGACCTGCATCAGGCGGAAACCCAAGGGACCTTCGCTAGTGTCCGCTTAATAGAGGTCTCCGCTAAATACAGGTTAATTTCACTTTTCCAACAGTTTTGTTTTGCTTTTCCAAATTTGGCGACTGAGTATTCTTCATGCTTGTTTTATTGTTATGCAGCAATTAAAACTTTTGTATGCCATATACAATTAAAACAGCGTGACGAGTCTTTAACTTCTCTTTAATATATTACTTCTATTCGGCTGTAAAAAATTCACTGACGATTAGTTCATAACTTTAAGGTGGGTCCAACAGATGTTGAAGGAAGAGAGTTAATAATTTCGAAAGCGATATTCATTGATCATGTTGTAACTCTAAACGTTACAGAGATGTTTAGTGTTCCCGAGAGTACAGCCTTCTGCATGTTATAAAGAACTCCCTTACTCTTACTTCCGACCATCTCCTTCAGCTTGACTTCTAAGTCTCGGCACCATCCGACACGTCCATTATGATATTATATTGTTTCACTTCATATCCTTAGTACTTCTGCTTTAACTCCCAACGCAGCGCTCCGTACTTGGTTTTCTCCTCCTCCTTTTTCTCCCGGTTTGTAAGCCATGGGCAGCTCATCTCAAGCGTTATGACTCGCTTTGACCCGTGGTTGACAATGCGAGCATCAACTCTGTTGGCTGTAACTTCTTAGTGCTCCGCAAATAGAGGGACATCCCAGAACGATAGCGCATTGTTCGCCTCGTACACTGGCTTGGCACTGGCACTGGCACTGGTGCAAGGGCAGTACAACCAGCTAGGACATGGGCGACACTTTCAGGGGCCTTATTACATAGCCTGCACGTTACCTCACCCGTCATATCCGTGTGCGTTTTCTGGCAGGCATACAACCTTGTAGGTAATAACTGTTCGTAGAGCTCAAACATCCCCGCCACTGTATGTGTTGGACATTGTTTCCAACCGCTTAGCCACCAGAAATAGCCATCGAAATTAAGGCTCTCGTCTTCACTTCTCGCGGAGATTAGTTTCCCCTGCCAGTTTTGTCCCTGCGCCGCTTCCCGTGTCTTCTATTCCAAACACCTTCAAATCTCTACCATCAGTTTCTCTGCTGTTGTCACTTTTCCACTATCATGCTTTATGAAGGTTAGGTTTGGGTAATCCAGCTCCAACTGGAGGCCCATCTCCTCTGCATACCTTGCTGCCTCTTTAACTAACGAGCTATGATCTAACTCTTCTACTCTCTCTTCAAACTCACGAACCATCGCCATCGCTGAGTCACCGTTTCCATATAACTTACTGCAGCCTTTATCTTCATCACTTTGTACTCCTCCTCGATCGAGCGCAGACCTCTACCTCCCCTCTCTCTTGACATGTATCAGTAGAATGGCAGTTGAACGGCTGGGATGTTTCCCACCATTCTCAACAACTATCTTGCGAGCTTCTCTATCTAACTTTTTGAACTCTGTCACCGGCCATTGTTGTGTCCACATAAGGTAGCCTAACACTGGTAATGCAAATTGGTTCGAGGCTGTCACACGGTTGTGATCAGACAAGGGATTTGACCAAATGATAGACATTTTGCGAAGAAACTCCTTAGCTGCGCACTCCAACGACATCCTCTCCTCTTGCCTCACCGTCTCTAAAATACCCAAGAACTTGTAATGATTACATTCTCCAAGGTCGGAAACACAGATATTTCTCATCTACCCTTCCTTAGCCCCGAGGCATCATGGGTATGGGTATGTACCGTTTTTGGGGTTCCACTGAAGTCCGACATTCTCCATCGCGCTCTTGGTTGATTCCATAACACGGTTTAGTTTACTCTTCGAAGACGCAAAGATCTTTAGATCATCAATATACAAGAGGTCTGTTACCTTTACACTGATGGGCTTAGATAGTTTATAGCCCTCACTCGCACTGATCTTCCATGTGATGGGATTCAAACAAACCTTGAAGAGCATGGGACAGAGAGCGTCACCCTTGGGTAGGCCATTGAGAAACCTGACTGGCTCAGATGTCTCCCGCCCTTTCTTTGTAGTCGCCACCAACCTTGTGTTCTAGCCCTTGCTTAACTTCTCTACCGTCCTTGATAACCAGACAGGGAATCTATGCAGGATCATTATCTCCTTCAACCAACCATAGTCTACCGAGTCGTACGCCTTCAATCCACGCCATACTCAGGTTACCCTTTCGCCGATGACAATCTAAGGTCACAATTCTGTCAATCAATAAACTGTCTATAGTTCCGCTACATCCTGCGCGTGCGCCCCTCTGGGCTCCATCCATTAAGGACGGTGCCCACTAATGGGAAGTTTTTTTTTTCCCAGATAATGACTACGTGAGACAAGTAGATCATATCAGGGGCTATTGAAATCCAAGGTGACCACGCATTTTTCCGAGATAATTGCGCTTCAATATGGAGAAAAACGCTGAATAGGCATTTTTTAGAAAAATGATAAAAAGTTATTTTTTACCCAAATTTCAGAGTGTCAACGTGAACGTGCACAAATGCAATGATAATTGTAACAAGGTCTCAAAATAAGCAACAAATGATGACATAACAACTGCTCTTTATACGTCTTTTTTTGAAATACCAGCACAACTGGGAAGTTAGCAGCAGTTACCCCTCTCCACGCGTTTGCCTTAAAAATAGTGTAAACGACATTTTCACCAAACCAAAACTTGATCGTTTGCTGAGTAGGCTTATTACTTCCATTTGGTAAGATAAAAAGTAGGGGTTACCACGCGTTTTTAGAAGTTAAATTGGTTGGTTTCGACCTTAACTTAATCGCTTTGGGGGTTATTTACAATTTCTCCCATCCCCTCCCCAGTCAGTTTTACTATTGCCTCACTCAACGCGGAGTACTCTGGGATATCCACAATGGCTAACAGTCAGAGAGAACAACAATCCACGGAGGAGAGCAAAAACAGAAAGTGAAGAAGGACATTTCAGGAAAACAAATTATACTATTTCATTCAACTGGAGCTTCTCCGTCTCAAAAATTTAACAAACAGTTTTGGAGAAGAGCAATCTCGAAGGTATTAAAGATTACTTCCAGCGCACATGGAGTAGTATGGCGAGCTCAAGATCCGAGGCTGGTGCTGTAAACAAACTATTGTACTGTGGTGGAAAATAGTCGACAGGGACTCTTAAACAGGTACTCCTTCATTCGTTTGCTTACCGGTACATGTCCTCAAGATTTTTTGCACCGTAGATGTAATATGGACTGTAAACCTTCTATCGTTTTTTATCATTTTACCGGGTACCTCGATCAAATATGTTATTAAACTTGCATACATTCAATGAGCATATATCTGTGCTTTGCGCTATCTCCTTGGGGGTTTGCCACAAGTGTCATATGACTTAAATGCTTTGCATAGACTCAAGTTCTCTTTTAAAAAAGCTGAATACTGCGAAAGTAGTTGTACCGAATGCATTTATATACCCTCATATATAAACTGGGCTATAATGATCATTTTATATATTTCGTTTTGATTTGTTTTACTGTAGCACAGTTCTGTGTCATGATCATTTTCTATTTTTCGTTCCCAAATGTTAATTTTAGACTTAACAGTGTCTGTTAAACGTAAGAAAGTCTTAGAATGGAAATACTTTATTTTACCTTCCATCTTTAGTTTGTGAACAGCCAAATGGCAGTTGTGTCTAAATGTCCAGATTATGCGTGGCGTAAAATTGAACCTTAAGAAATACTATCTACTCGACAAGCTGCCCAATGAGTCAATAATTTCAATGCTTAGTAATGCCAAAATGCTTAAATAATAGTAAAAAGCATAGCAATTTTTTACGATTTTTTTCCACGATGAAAGCGTTTCCTTTGCGGTCCGCAACTATTTGTGAAGCTGCGATCCAAGCAATCTTGTGATCACGGTTTTTTTCTTGTTTGTGCAACAAATAAAAGCATCGGACTCTCAAAAAAGGGACATCTGTATGAACTCGATCGCTTTAAATCTATGTTCTGGTGACTAATTACATAAAATCTTACAAAATTGAAGAAATATTCGGGAAAGTGTTTATAGCCGTTTAGCCGATAAAACGCGAAAGACGCGAGTGAAAGGCAAGCTTGCAGTTTCTCGATTAAGCGGAGGACTTAGAGCTATTTGTCTTCTGATCTACTGATCCTTGCCTATTAAGGGATTTTTTAATACCCAAGCTCTAAGCGTAACATCTTGAAGCAATAACTTTTGATGTTTTAGAATTGAATTTTGTTTGACTATGAAATGTTCGGTCAGATCGATCATATGGCAGAAATAGCAACATGCGAATACTTCTTTGGTTTTCAAAGAACTGACAAAGTAAATAGAAATTATTTTTCATCTGTTAAAAAACGACGCATCTTTTCCACAAGTTATAACTAGAACCTCTCAGACTTACAGGAGACAAAACCAGTCCGCGTGTCCTGCGTGTTGCGCATTTCTTTCGCAGTAACAATAGTGGGCACCGTCCTTAAACCGTGCGTTTCCAGATGTTCATTCGCAGGTGCGCAGGTCATTCGTGAACCACGTATAAAAAGTATTTAAACAGATGATCGGTCTCTGGTTATTATTATTATTATTTTTTTTTTTTTTTTTTTTTTTTTCATTTAGACGTCCAAAAAGGCGAGCGTTTCATTATATAGAAGAGAATATGAAAATCACCAAGTCAACCTTCCGGAATGTAAGGTAAAGTTCTATATTTGAGTGTCGAGGTATTTAGCACGAAGGTACTACCTTATCATCACTTATTTTCGTGAGACTTAATTTTCGCGATTTAAAAAATTTCGCAAAATTAAAGTACCGCGAAAAAAAGGTGCCGCGAAAATTAAGACGGGAAATTTGGTGACCTTTATAAAAACCTTTATTTAAGTTTTCTGTCTGCTAGTAGTACGTAGGTAAAACTGTAGGCCCCAAAACATTACAAATATGTCACGCCTTGCAAAATATTTCTCCGCCTGTTTCCTAGACGCAAATCCGTAGGCGTTTTTTGTTCGATGTAAGGGCCTGTTTACATGGAGGAGGGGGACCCCAGATAGGTGAGGTAACCCGCTTAGGTGGGGTAAAAACATAACCCTCCTTTACATGCAATCTTACAACCCCGCCATCCCGGGTTGCACTTTCTCAAGATTATTGAATGGTCGCTATGCACGTAAACAACAAAAATGCTGGAAAACCACGTGTTTTGGCGATTAATGCTCTTCAACCGGCTTACTTGCTGCTCTTGCTGCAACCTTCAGGGCTGTGGCTTTCTCTTGTTACCTTTAACAACGATGCAAAGCCACCGTCAAAGTGGCTGAGAGGATAACCCGGTCTGGCAGACTGGGCTACCCGCCTTGTCGGGTCACCCCACCTATCATGTAAACGTGATCAAATTAAACCGTGAGATTATATGGACAGGCGGATTACCCCACCTAAGCGGGTTATCTAACCTACCTGGGGTCCCTCGCCTCCGTGTAAACAGGCCCTAGAATTCAGTTCGTTTTTAGGTATCTATACAGGTACTCTTATTTGTATTGTAAAACTCGCTGATGAAGTGTGCGCTAGTCACACGAAACACGTAGGAGACAATAAAACAATTTTACAACTCAAGAAGTTAACAAAAGTGCTGCTCACTGGTTTAGCCTTTTAGAATATGATATTCTCTACAACCACTTGAGAGGCAGTGTGGGAAAGCGGCACATTCACTGCGCAAAAGGATTGTGCAAAGCGAGTATATCCTAACTTGTTCAACGGAAGACAACCTCATCGCCTGAAGATCCATTTCAAAACATAGAGGCGATCCTTATCTAAAAGCTAATTGGCAGTGCCGTCGAGTTTAATAGTGCCTCGGTTGCTTATATCAGTGTACTTTTAAAAGATGTCATGTCACTGACATTGTTGAACATTTCAACCAGTTGCTTGTTGAGTTTCTATTCCGTTATGGAAGTTCCGTTATGGAAATGGAAGTTCAGTTAAAAAACGAGCACCAGCGTAATTGATTCGCGAAATTTAATTACCTTGAAAACTGGTGATTCTTCAAAATCGCGAAATTTAATTCCCTCGAAATACTTCTATTCCAAATTCGCGAAATTAAAGTCGCGCGAAAATAAGTGATAAAAGGTAATTGAGGACACTATTTTTACGTCTCCTTCTGCAGACGTGACCACCATTTTACGTAATCATCCGAGGGTACGCGAAAGTCTAGCCGTTTGCAGAGCAAGGGTAGCCTGTTCACAGACCCTCTATTTTCTCTTCATAGTCGTTCGAGCGCGGGTGATAGAATATAAACCGCAGGGGTTTATTGACCGCCAACGCAAGACTCCGCGCTCGTTCTCGCGCGCTCTCTTCGCTCGCCGATGTTTTTGAAAAGAACGAAAAGAATTATAAAACAACGTCTGTGTACAGGCTAGAGCAAGGGAAGTACCTTCATTTTTCAGATATTTCATGTCGCTGAGTATTGGTACGGCCCAGGGAATTGAACCCACGACCTCCCGCTCTGCGCTCTATAAACGGAGCTAATGCTGCGACGGTTATAAACACACAACACCTTTTGGGCTTATCTGGGTTAATAATTTTAAACAGTGTTTTTGACGGAGACGACCGGCTGAGCCGAATTTATGACTGGTCTTGCCATAGAGAATTAAGTAATTTTATGTTGTTTTCAGTGTAGACGCAAGAGGGTCGTAAGGGGTTGCGATTCTCATTCGCACTTTCCATGGTCTCCGCAAGGAGCGCTTGGAACAATGACACCCCATTTGGCAAACGAATACGGAAAGAAAAAAATGGCTTGCATTTTTAGAACATCTCGTTTCCTAGGAAAGTTCGAATAAAGGCCAGAAAGATAATGTTGTAATGATAAACCGTGCCCGTTGCAGGCCAGTAGCCATGTTTTTTTACGGAATTACGGGGAGATGCAATCCAAGGAGGAGGCGGACGTCGACCGAACGAGACCGGAGGAGCAAATTTCTAGGCGGGGAGGGGGAAACTAGGTTGTCTGATACTGTGTTACTAACGTTTTGAAAAACATGAATATTTCTCAAATTTTGGCGCTTCAAAATTGAATTTCTTTGGTAGAGACAACTTTGTCATTATGTTAGACGGTGTATGTGCATCAGAGCCATGTGAAGAGAGCTTTTCTTGTGTCGCTAGTATTACTTTTTTGCCACAGAAAACAGCAGATATTTTAAACCATGCTCAAAGACAAAGGGCTAACTCAAAAAAGGAACAATGCATACCTTCATCGCCTTTAAGCACAAGTGGATCCGAGATCCACCCTTTGTAATTGGCTGTTTAACAGGCAATTCGAAAACGAGAATTCCAAATCCCTGAAACGGCCCGATAAATGAGTCCAGTCAAAAACGGTTGTACCGCTCTCGCCAAAAAACGAAAACAAAGTTAAAGGTAATGTTTCTCCCTGGCTAGCAACTGTCACGGCCGAATAACTCAGGGGTACCTAACGACTGTTTTCTGTAAAATATCTGTTCGGAGAAGAAAATATTGCCTGGAATTTCCTATTGCTTGAGGCACGGATATAAATTTCTAGTTGACGTTCCATCCATGTACAATTTTTGAAACTTATCTATTAAATTCCCTACAATTTTCTGAAGCTTAATTTTTCACATTTCACTCTCCGAGTAATGCTGTTTTTCGTAGAAAAAGAAAACCTAAAATTTTCGGATTCAATAATGTGATTGAAATAGGAATCAGAAAAATTCTAACCTTCATAAAGCGATAAATTGCATCTAAAATTTTCGGGAATATAATACTGAAGCCCTTGGAATTTCGAAAAGATTCAAAGTCCCCTAAGATGACCGAACAGTTACAAGTTTTATAGCACCGCTTAGAATGTATTTCTAGAGATCTAAAACTACTCTGGAAAGCCTAAAAAGTGTTTTCAACGTATTTAGGAGGAAATCGTCGTTGGGTGCCCGATAACTGCCAAGTGGAGGAATAATAACATCATCGGCTCCAGTCTTAAGATTCGCATTATAGTAATTTACATGAAAGTCCTTGGAGTTGACTGATCGGCATGCAACACTACCAGAGTAGGGTTAAGCTTTAATAGGAACTTCAATATCCTGCAAGTAAGCGAAAGTAATAGCTGCGTCCAGCATGTCAAAACTATAGCAGGGAATCTCATACCATGTAAAACGGTTCAAATAACAATTGAGATCCAACACTTTGCAGAAAACTATGGAACCAAACCCTAAAGGTTGTTGGGACGCTTTTAAAAATAAGAAAGGAAAATCCTAAAACCTACAGCTAGCGATCAGAGGTCAATTTCTGATAGAGCAAAGATAATAATCTACAGGAAATCACTGTACAGCACCAGACCACATGACCTCTCAGTAAGCTTCAGTAGCTTCTCAGTGAAAGAAACATTTGCTAAATGCACACTACGAACCCTCCAAAACAGACTTTACCAGTTAAGGACAAAATGAAGGAGCAAGTGACGCATTAGAAAGGGGTAAGTTTCTTGTAGGTATACCAAATTCCCTTTTTGATATATAGTTTACGAAGGCTAAAACACGTTTTGTTGAAAGGGTGCCGTCAGGCTTATGAGCTCTTTCACACTATTTTCAATTTTACTACAGTACACAATCAGTGAATTAGAATAGAACAATAGTCGAAATTCACTTTGTTTTAATCTTTGATCAACAAAAAAGGGACCTCTGGAACCTGTAGGGGGGGTGCGTGCGCACTCGTCGCACCCCCTCCCTACGGGCCTGTGTTGATACGTCTTGAACGAGCATGAAGAAAGTATCGGCAATTTTGGAGTCAATTTGTGGAGACAAAAATCTGGTCTCAGAGAGTTTATTGTTTACATATGCTAGCAGTATAACCCACCTGCAACATTTAAGTATACAGAGTCAAAAACCTCTGCGTCGAAAGAGTATTGTGGGGAAACACGACAGCCGAAAAATCTCTCATCATCTTTTTCTATGGAACTGAGTGTGAAGATGGCGTGACCGGTTGACGTGTTGCCGTCATAGCTTCCGCTTACTCGCCCATTATATTGTACGGGAACTGGAACAGACGCTGGGCTTCCTGATTCACCAAAAGCTACTAGTTTTCCATTGGGAATAAAATGGCGTGCTCGGTGATCTTTGATAAGCCCAAACAGAACTCCCCGAACACCTTTTGTACCATTGGAGAAGCTCCAGGAGAAATTTACAGAAGATCCAATTAATCCTGTAACAGAATTTCCTTTATAACCTGATATCAGATGTATATCACTCATCACTGCAAGAATGAATATAAATCATGGATTATAAAAAGAAGTTGCATATCAGTAAACTTCGGAGAAAGGTGCAGGTATTGAAGCCAGCAGACAGAACATATCTATAGCTATTTTCCATTCTGCTTTCTATTCTAGCAGGTTTTTTATCCGTATTGAAGAGGATTCTCTATAGATCAGAGTTCAGTGTGTCTAAAATTAATACTGGATGAAGAGAATTTGAGTAAAAGTTTCAACGTTTCTCAAGAGCTTTAGAATAGCACTTGGTATATAAAAGTTCCACATATGGCTTTGGTTTAAAGGCCCCTCGTTTTTCATTACGTATTCTAGTACTTTAGAAACCCTAGCGATTAAAGAACGCATATGGATCAATCTGGCTGAACACAGTGTGATAGGTTGTAGATGATTACCATTCACTGGGGTGTTATTTAAGACTAATGGCAGGTATAAAAGCTCAAATTTGATTCTAAGATATTTTCGCTTGTTTCCATTGCTTACGTAAGTCAGCAAAACAAGCGCTCTCAATTTGCTCCCTAGGTACGCATGGTCAACTCTTGCGCGCGCACTGAAATCACATGATATGTCAAAGAGGAAGAAAACAAGATAAAAATCTTCTGACAACCAATCAATGTATGATTTGTATAATTTGTGATACTGACAAATCCACTTTTTAAATAGAAAAAAGAGACATCTGTTCACTCTCTTGCATTATTTCCAAGCATTTTCTGTTATTTTCTTTGGAGCGTTTTTAATTATGGTGTCGATCAAGAACTGTCCCAATAGCGAGAAAGGTTTATAACAATTTATTCTTTCCGAGGCCCTATATCTGCCGTACATTCCAAATTGAGCAACGTGCTCGTTCTAAGTACAATGCCACAGCGACATTTTTTCGTAACCTACGAGGCGACAGGCAGTCTCAGAAATGACCCACAAAGCGACAGCATACCCCAACCCCACCCCCCTTTGCAAAGGCCTCTTCATTTTGCCCTTAGTATCCTCTGTGGCACCCTGGAGTGGGAGATGTCAAGCCGAAAGCGATTTCGATGTAAGTATACACTAACCTTCCAGCAAGCCGCCGGGAGAACATTTTTGTAAGCAAACGAAGCATTGTCGCAAATGTCCGCCATTTTTTTTTCTCAATAAGCATGCCTTCCAAAAAAGGTCTTTTAAAAATGATGAAAAAATCCGTACACAAATATTCGATTGTTTTTCAGAATATAAACGGACTGAATTTATAGGATAACCCGTTAATTCCCCGCCCACTTTTTATCAGTTTTGCAATCCACATACAAAAACACCATGGGTTGGATTCATTTGCTACATACTACGCGTATGCTCTCGCATTTAAATTGCCGCTGGAATGTTTTAAAGTAAAAAACAATAAAATGCGAAGGCTATAAGTGTTTGCTGCCAAAGAATCCACAATAAAATATCCTTGAGTCAGTGGCATGAACTAAAACCTGTTCTTTGCACGACTTAAATCGAATACGTTACACTTCCGGGCGTAGCGCAACCAACCTCTAGACAGGTATCAGCGTACCGACTCAGGTTTCCGCTGTACTCACTATTCTGTTTGCATACACCCGATCGTCCCCATCACTGGAATAATGAGACTCTCTGTGGATAATACTTTCGACGAAATCAAAGTCACGACGATCGCTTTAGATGACTGAACGACGATGTCAAAGAATGGGCGTAGGACGATTGTATTGCCATTCCGATCGAGTTTCAATCGAGCATGCTATGACGGCCCCTAAATCTTCAAAGACGTTCGCTGCACGTTCACGACTACGCGCGCGACGAAAACGAGTCAAACGACGTCTACAGTTTAGCATAGAGAGGCTCAATAATCTAAAAATATTCGTTTGCGACGATCATATAAAAAATGTAGTCACCTCTAAAGGTAAATACAGTATAAAACGTACCGAACGTTTGGCGGTAAACTTATAGATCTACCGCTGGAAAAACATGAGACTTGTTTCTACTTTATCGGACAAATATCATTAAGAAGGTCACTGTAGGTTTAACAATTTTACAAAACTAGCCTGATTCTCTTATGACCAAGTAAGTTTTCAGGCGGTGTTTAATTTAATCTATGATAAAGAAAGTACGTACCTGAATGCGGAATTAACAACAATGCAAAGAAAATACAACACTCTGTAGATGACTCCATTGAGTCCAATGCCTCCCTTGGGTCCAAGGGAAAAATTCAGTCCTTGAAGATGTATGACAAAGAAAATAGTGGCTTGTAGATGCAATATATTTATCGATTCTTAGAGGTAAGGACAGGCTGGTTTTGAAAGAAGTTTAACATGGTATCATAATACAAGGGTCACGTGGTGGTGTGTCAACCTTTAGAAGTGTATCGCTTGATTGCTAAGACACGCCATAAAAAAACGTCTATCTTTTTCAGCGTAGTACATTCAAAAGTAGTCTGCTACACAGCCGCGTTGCGTGACGACACAAAGAATGGCTGTGCGGCAGACTGACCCTGGTTTAAAGGCACTGTACTCAAATAATTTAACACAAATAGTGCAAACGGAACATAACAGGATGAAAAATCTCAGCTAGCAAGGGGTAACTCGTTGGCTATTGAACAAGCGTGTGTCTGTTCGGAAAATCCTGCGTTCAGTCAGGTCTGCAAGCAAAAATGTTGCTTGCAGTCCTGACTGAACGCAGGACTTTCCGAACAGCAACGAGATTTATTGCATAATGAGGGTAGCTTTACAGCTCTGGAACTCTATAACTTACATTCACCACTCTACACTAAAATCCATAGAAATTTATGGCATAAAATTCTAGAACTTCCTAAATGAAGTCTACTTAAGCGAAATATGGAGATCTATAAATGCCTACACAAGACATCCCTCATTGTTTTCTGGCAGGAAAACCGGAATAATATCCTGTTTATTGAGTTGGGCTCTTAGTATAGCTGTGTCAGATTGGCCGCGGAGCAGTGCGGCTGCTGCCACGAGTGTAGCTGCATATACTCAAAGCTTGCCCCATGCAAGGGAATCCGGATTCCGGAATCCGGGAAAATTTTGCTTGTGGAATCTGGAATCCTGGGCTTTGGACTCTGGAGCTCAAGGAATCCGGAATCCTACTAAGGATTCGAATCCAGAATCCAAGTTACACTGACAACGACTGGAATCCAGACTGGAATCAAAAGAGGCAGAGTTTCTAGTTTCATTGGAGAGATTGTTCCAATTAGAAGCCCTGAAGCGGAATGCACGCTCTGCGGCAGAGATTTGGCACTGAAAAAGGTGAAGTTGAGTGCTCTGCCTAGTGATGTAGAGCAGGGACCGCGCAGAGGGAGGGGCTGGGGGGCCTTTAGCCCCCACTCTTTTTTGCAAGAATAAAAATAAATTAAACAAAAAATAATTTAACAAAAGTAACGGAGTGAAAAATAGCAAAAAAACGTGAATTCGAAAGTGACCAGAGTTACTGGAAAATAAAAACTCTCAGATCATTTGACAGAATAAAGCAGTTGTCGTTACAATTGTAAAATATTTTTTCTTTTCTAAACTAGCTGATAAAAACGTCTATTAAATAGATTCTTTGTCCAGTAGACCTTTCTGACAAACGCATAGCTTCGTTATTGGTCAACT